TTCATTATTTGTTAAATTTCACAGCTTTTTCTGATTTTTTTTGTTATACATCTTTTTTATAGGAAGATATCAATGGAGTAGAGATAAGTGATCTTTTGATAGTAGGTTAACATAAGCAATTATTTTGCTAATAAATATAAAATAAAAATAAATTTGAAATTTTAACGTAAAATTCTAGCAACAACAATCGAACAATCATTTCAAAGATGTGCTTGCAACATTGGGATTAAATGTAAAATATGATGGTAACGGAGCGCATATCGGTTTCAGTTGTATCGGTATGGATTGGGCTTTTATGCTACAAGTTGCTAACATTCAAGCAACGCTTTCCGTTGTATGTCATCCATTTATTTAAATATAAAATTTAAAAAATTACAAGTAATCAAAATTTATGAGAAAAAAACGGGAAGATTAATTTGAGAAGTAATTTTCACGGAAATTTCTAAATATGAAGTTTAAAGTTGTATAACAGTTGTTCGGATGTACTATATTGTGCTTTTTTAATTTCATTAATATATCTTGCATAAAGGTTAAGGCTTCAGATAGCATTAAAAAGAATCAGGAAAAAAATAAGAGTTTCTTAATTTACACCATGACATTAAATATTGCTCATTTTCAATAAACTGTAAACGAAGGGATTTCTTAATTTTAAAGTGGAATTTCTTAATTAAAAAAAAACAGCTTATTTCCAGTAAATTTAAATTTGAGATGGAAATTTCTGTAGTATTGAAAATGTCCGATTTCAGCTGTTGATACTATGTTTGACAAGTTCAATGTTCCTGATCGGTTACCGCTTTATATCTTCCGCATGGGCAACTTATCTGCTATCATGCGCTTATATTGGTATTAGAGCGTAAGTTATTTATATAAAAAATTCAAAATTAAATTAGTGAAATTTTGAATTTTCCGATTGAAATCTAGCAAAATCCATCCATTCCAAAGAACACTTACTTATCATCTCTAATTTAATTAATTTAAGCATAACAATATCAATAACTGCGAATTCTTTTCAGATCAATTCTCATCCATTTCCAGCTATTGATATCCTATTTGCGAAAATATATGCGTAAATTCAAAAAAAGCTAATCCATCATTTTAAAAAGCAATTTAGTATACAGTTTAATAAAACTAAATTAAACAAAATCAGATTTTTTCAATTTAATCACTGCTAATTAACAGTTTTAATTATTCAATTTAATTATTTGTCAATAAAACAAAAAAGTACGAAGTCATGTAATCACCAATTTTTCTTTCCTTTTTTTTTTCTCCGCCAATTTTAATGCATGCAAATAAGTGATATTAATTAGTAAGAGAAAAAGATAAAATCAATTACAGTGGGAAATGGCAAAGTTATTCACATGCGATTGCTTATTGCGGAATGTGTACATTTCAAACATTTGTTTACATGTCCACAATGTGTTGGTTCTTCTACTCCCTGTACACACTCAACTCGAACACTCAACCTTATGAATTCAGTTAAATTCTTTTAAATTTTAATTTAAACATTTCTGTATTATTATTTTTTCAAAAAAAAAAAAACAAAAAAGTACTCAAAATAATTTTAATTAGACAAACAAATACTATGGTTAATTGTTTTAATTTTTAAAGCTTTAATCCATATGGAGAAATGATGAAATTGAAATATTTTTTAAAGAAAATAATGATTGTAATTACTATACATTAATTTATGCTCATTAAAGCTAATTTATAATATTTAATTCGAAAATGTAACGAAATCATTGCATGATATATTTATGACTGCTACAAATGAAATTTTTTTAAATCAAATATTCTAAAATTTGATAACATATGTTTGAAGATTAAAGATTAGCAGAGATAAATTTCAAAATTAGATAAATACATTAAAACTACAGTTCATAGTGCAACATCCGATGCAGCACTAATGTTTGCCCTCGGTGAAGTGTTATGTATTATCGGTACCATTCTCACCGGCATTTTTGGACTGATCGGATGTTGTCGCGGATTTGGACGATTACTTCACGCGCAGGAGAAAATGATATTGGTATGTTATCTTTATCAATATCCAATAATAATAATAATAGCTCACTTGCGTCATTTTAAATTTACTTTATGTAGAATTTTTACTTACAGGACTATCAAAATGTTCTTATTGGAGCGTATGATAGCGCACGTCGACTAAACACCGTTTGAAAAATGTATACATTTCAAATCAGAGATTTTTATATTTAAAAAAAAAAAAAAATCATTAGCTTTTTAGTTTTTAATTAACTGATCTTAACGAAACTATTTAATTGTATTTGTGAAAAAATTTTCTTCTTTGCTCTTTCTCATTTTCTCATTGTTTTAAATCAAACTTTTTTTCACTTTTTAAAATGTAAAGAAATTAGCTGAATAAGAAACTTATCGATTAGTACATTAACTCTTTCACATCCCCAAATTTTGACATATTTTGATCATAGAATTAAGCTTTAAAAAATATAGAGTTTAACGAAAACGAAATTCTAAGTTTTATTTGTCAAAATTTTGTCTCATGATTGAAATTATTAAAATTTGAAATTTATCAAAACATTGTATTGTGTAAAATAGCCATATCTAATGTATTATCGCTATTATTTATCCATTTATTTATTCTCTTACATAATCTCATCAAATCCTCAATCTCGCAATTCGTAAATACATGGATAACAAAAATTAACTCGTTTGCTTCTCTCTCTCTCTCTCTCCCTTTTTCTCACTTTTTCTTTTTATTCCGCTAATCCGTTTGTATTGTATCACATATATGTTTTCTAATGATACGTTGAAAAGAAGAAATTAAAAACTTCATGAATGAATTTTTTAAAACTTTCAAAAACCGATTTCTTCTAAAATGAAACGATTTTTTTTGGCACAAGAAATGATGGCAGCAAGCTTAACAAATCTACGAAAACTTACTATCAAGTACGTTTAAAAATAATTATTATTCATTATTTATATAAAGATTTATATTCTGTTACTGTACTATTTAATACATTTTATATTCCAATAATTTATTTTCAAAGAACTATTCAAGTAAAACTATGAAAATCAATTAGCAGAAAAAAACAGTGAAGAATCTTATAAACTTAAAAATAGGCATTCTTTGATGGATTATTTGAATGTTAGAAGTACTGTGTAATTTTTCAATGAGATATTAATATCTGAAAAAAAAAGCGTTACCGAGAACAGCGAGATGAACATCGATGTCCAAACTACCACCTTTGTTTGTTGCAACGCACGTGTACATTCCTTCATGTTCCAATTGCGCGGATTCTATTATCACCTGAAATTTCTGAGAGTCACTTCTCATTCTGATGATATTTTTCTAAATGCTTCACTTCAGTGGTAAGATAACGCATCTATCATATCAGTGAAACTTTAACTTAGTGATTGCATACCATTTAAAAGCAAAAACAGCCAATAATTTTGATTGTTTTGAAATTTAAATTTTACGATTGAATGAAATAATTGTGCACGCTTAATTTAATTCATTCGCCAAATAAAAAATGATGAAAATATTCGTCATTTATGATCTTTATCATACTTCCGATAAAAAAAAAATATTTTTTTAAATAATTTCAAAAAAATTTATTTGTTAATGATATTGTGAAACTTGAAAACTAACCGACTTTCCATCTGATGCCAATATTACACCACGTTTTGTGATACCTTCTTCAAGAAGTTCTCCATTAACAAGCCAAGCAATATCAGGCTCCGGTACACCTGATATTGGACAACCTAACTCGATATGCTCATTTTCCAGTACTGTTACTTTGGTTTTATGCATGCTCTGATTCAGATTAGGTGGTACTGAAATCAATTATTTATTACATTATTCAAACGGTAAATAACTTCATAAATCATATTCTATTTTGAAATAAATGAACTAAGTTGGAAATGTGTAAAAGGTATATTTTTAGAGAACATGACTACATTTCGTAAAATCACTGTAATTGATCATTTCCCAACAATAAATTTTAATACGTTTAAAATGAAGTATATCAATTATTTTTAGATAGTAAAAATTTAATTCATCTAAAAAATTATGAATTTAAATTCATTAAAAGGAAGTATATGATAACTTCTGCTCAACAAAAAATTATGAATATTTTATACAGCGTTATTCTTTCTCCTAATAATCTTTACCTGAAATATTTCAAATGTTACTACGAAAATTACTCACCAATAATTTCGACTTCAAATATTTTTGCTGAATCGCCAGCCGGATTTCGTGCCACACATTTATAACTTCCAGCATCCATTATTCGAGATTTCAAAATGTGTAAACGTCTCTGATCATCCGAAAGAACAATATTTGCATCGCTTTCCACTATTGGACGGTCATCCAAATACCACGTGATCTGAATTTTCCGTTTTTTATTTTTTAAAAAGGCATTTCAAATTAACATCGAAAAAATGAAATATTGGCTAAAATTTTCGGCATATTTTTTTATTAAAGTTATTTTCTAATTTTTTTTAACTCTTCAAATCTTGATCATTTATGAATTTTTTTTTTGTACAATTTAATATAATTTTTAATAAATTTTTATGAAAAAAAGGACCTGTGGTAGTGGGATGGAGAGTACCGGACAGTAAAGACTGAATGGTTGCCCAACAGCAACTGCTTCCGTTATAATCGTTTCCTGATCAGGAATGTCAGGTGGAACTACAAACGATTATTTTGTTTCGTAGAATATCAATGTAAATACAATAAGAAATAAACTATGAAGCGATAATTTAAATTTATTAGATGCCTTAAATTATTATATTACTTACCTATTTTAAAATAAAATCACTCCTCAATGTTTAAAGACATGAAAGCGGAAATATACATGATGTGATTGAAATGAAAATTTCAATATGAATTAAATGGGATATTTTGTAAGAAATATTGATAAATACTTTTAAAATTTAAAATTTAAACTTTCATGAGTAAACAGATATTTTAATTTCAATACAGAAATATTTTTGGATAAAAATTAATTTAACTTCTACAAATATTCTTGCTTTTTTATTATTTCACAAAAATTACTATCTGAAAAATACTTACTTATAACAGTTAATCGGACCACCTTTTCTGTATCGCCAGCAGCATTTGATGCTTTGCATATATAGTGACCGGCATCATCATTTTCCACGTTATCGATAATTAAAGTACCATCCTTATTTACGTGCATTCTCGGTGTATCGTGCAATATCGGAATTCCTTTTCGACTCCATGTTATTGTTGGGGATGGATTAGCGCTAGCAAAACAGCGTAATTCAATACGATCACCTTCCACAGTGGTGTAATCCGATAATGTATTCGGTAAAATTATTGGTGGTTCTAAATATAAATAAAATTTTAAATAAAATTCGAGAAATTTTGGAAATGTAGAAAAGTGATATTTTTCGAGAAACATACCTTGCACAATTACGAGTGTATTCCGTTCATCACGTCCAGCTGGATTTGTTGCAATACAACGAAAAATTCCACGATGTGACGACTGCGCTTTTTCGATACGTATTGTGCCTGCTGAATCGATATGAATAATATCATCCGGTATGATCTAAATAATGGAATTTGTTTTTTCTTTAAATAAAAATTTTGAATTACAAGAATAAAAACTAGTAAAGTCTAAAAAGATAATCATAATGGGAATCATAGAATTTATATCTCGAATTCATCAACCGATTATAACTTAAATTGACTGATAATGATGAATTGTATTTCTCTGCTTTTTCCAAAAATATTTCTCACTATTTTTGGTTTATCCATTCATTTTTTACTTTGATAAAATTAAATCACATAATTTTAACTAGTAAAATTCTGTAAAAATTACTGAAATCATAAAAAATAATGTTTTTTCAATAAACAGTGAAAAAAAGTTCACCTGAAAGCCGTCTTTTTCCCAGGTAATTGTTGGTTCTGGTGTTCCAACAGCACGACAGGGAATTTCCAGCATAAGACCAAGAACAACAACAATGGTACCTGAAACAGAATGATAATTTAATAAATTTGATTAATCCATTGGTAAATTACTCATTATTTAATATTTATTATTTAATTGTTTCATTTGAAAAAAAAAGATTTTAAACCTGGTATGTTAGATATGATTTTCGGTGGTTCATGTATCTTCAACAAATATGTTATATGATCATCACCAGCTAAATTGGATACATGACAGGTGTAACGACCTGCATGATTCATTTGAGGTGTTACTATTTCTAATGATCCATCATGTGTATAAATCATCTCCTAAAACTTACATCTTCTGCATAATTGAATTTTAAAATAAAATAGTATGATAAATTGAAATAGGATGACAACTTAAACAAATAACTCGGGATGGGAAAGTTTTCAATAATACATTTTTTCCCTAAATAAGATTTTGTTTTTAAATTTATTTTTATTTTTTTTTAAGATTTTGCTTTAAAATTTTTTTTTAACATTAATTTTAATGTTTCTCTCGAACTTTGTACCAGTTATAGACACGTGTGATTTTTTTACACCTATCTATTTCCTCATTTAAAACTAATCAATTTAGATTAAAAAATAAATTAGTTTATCATAATTGAGATCATATCAGTCGTATTTAATTCAGTAATGTAATCGATCAGAAATAAAAAATGAATGAATTTGAAAATAACTAACAGATCCATGGCTATAACCACTATAAATCCGATCACCCTCATAACTCCATGTTCTCGATGGTAATGGAAAAGCTCGAGCAGGACATGGTAGCAGTACTGATTGATTAACATTCGTAATTACAACTTTCAACTGTAGCAAAAATTAGTTAAAATTTAATTTTACAGGAAATGATATATCAAATTAACCATTCTTTTTCACATCAAATAACAAATATTGGAAAAGTCTTCAAATTTAATACATCATTAATTAATTCTTTTGTAGACTCACTTATATGTTGCAAAATATTTTAATTTTTATTCCTAATTCAATTGATCAGTAAAAAAAAAATGCAAACCTGATCAGATCCTTCAATAGTTGGAGCTGTATGTACCGTTAAAGTGATTACTTTTTCATCCTTTCCAATATTATTTGATGCAACGCATTTAAATTGTCCACGATGCTGCTCGTCGACCTTTTCAATAGTCAACGAACCATCTTTAGCTATGTGACCATCTTTAAATTCTTTACCATTCAAATACCTATAATTTAAATATCATTTGATAAATTTGAGAAAAAAATCTCAATTTTTTTTCATTTTAACATACCGTTAATTTTGAACTGATAGGCAAATTTTAGCTGCATGTGAAATAAATTTAATTAATTAAAAATTTAAAATAATAAACATCTATTATTGCTTACGTGTTAAGGTAATATATTCTAAATTAAATAAATGAAATGAAGAAAAAAAATTATTACCAAGTGATCATTGGCACAGAATCACTGCGAACTTTACAAGGCAATGTAATTTTATTGCCCTGAATTAAATTATAAGAAATTTGTCCAAGTTCAATAACAGGTGGACTAAGAATGACCACATCAGTTGCTGTTTTTGCTTCACCTGCTATATTAGAAGCGGTACAAATATATTTTCCTGCATGGCTACTGCTTGCTTGATGAATTCGTAACGTGTTATCAGGCTAAAATATACTTTAAAATTTAAAACTAATGTATTTTTATTTTTTTTTTGGTGCTGTAAAAATTCAAAAAATGAAACGCTCTATTTCAATTTTTAAAATTTTAATTTATTGATTTAGATTTGACAAACAAATTAAAATTCATTAGTAAGTGTCGTTTTTTTGCTGTTATAAATGAAAGAAAAATTAATTAAAAATGGATTAAATTGACTTTTAGCACTTTGAAGATTTATGAAATTGTCATATAATATACAAAAACCGACCAGAATCTCATATTCTTGATCACTGGAACTAATCGGTTTACCATTGATACTCCAAATTACTTTTGGTTGTGGTTTTCCAGTAGCGTGACACGGGATTTCCAATACTTTTCCTGCGGATGTCGTATATTGCAATGCATCATTCTTCTTGATATAGGGTTTTTCTAAATTCGTTTAAAAGCTAAATTCGTTGCATATACATCTATCATACATATGCAAATGCACATCTGGTAGAGACCACACACACATACACACACATACACACACACACACATGTATGTTATTATTAAAAAAAATGCTTCTTTTAAATTTAAATTTAAATGTATTTTTAACTATTGGAAAACTTTTTAACATTTGTGATCGTAAATGGTCAAAAATCCTATGCTTTTGGGTTTGAAATTATCCTTTTCAACCTAGCAACAGTTTTACATTGCTTCATTGAAGCAGTATATTAATGAGTAACGTCATTTACAAATTTCTCTTGGAAAGCGATAATTGTGATTTAAGATTTCATAGAATTTTCTAAATGATAGAAAGACCAGCAAATATTTAATGAATTGTCAGGAAAAAATTCGATTTAAATTTAACAATCAATAAAAGCATGGAAATATGTAAAATATTTTAAAAGTTGGTCCAAAAAATTGATTACTTAATGGGTTAAAAAGGAATAACTGCAAAAAAAGCAAAATACTCCACATATGTGAAGATTAAGTGAATTTTTGTTGGAATTTAGAAAGAAATTAAATTAATTGAAAAAAACCAATGGTATTGCAATTCTGGCACCTTAAAAAATATTAGCAAATCGTGTTTGTCTAACATTTCAAGTTCCAAATTCTTCAGATAAATATTTTTGGTCTTTTTTTTAAATGACTAACTGATCAATTCGATATTAACATTGAGAGAGGCATTGCCAGCTGAATTTGTCGCAACGCAGGTGTATTGACCTTCATCTTGTGGACGACCTTTACGTAACAACAGAAGGCTGCCACCTGACTTTATCTGCAAAAGTGTTATTTTAGACTTATCAATTATCTTTCTTTAGCAAAAAATCTTCCTATCGTAATTACGACAAATGAATATGGAAGAATAAAAATCTTAGTTAGAGGAGGAAAATTGAGAGAACTTGAAAAATTCATTGAAATTAAAAGCTATAAAACTGTAAAAGTGATTCAAAAAAGTAACTTCTGTCAATTGAAATAGGCTTATTTTACTAATTTATTTTTTTTAAAGAAAGTTAAACTAACCGTAACATAAGTAGAGGATTGTAATGGTTTACCATCTTTATACCATCTGAGAGTTGGTTTTGGTGTACCAAGAACCGGAACACATGATAGATGAAGCTCACCACCTTCTATAAGTTTCTCCTCTGGTGACACATGACCTAACACTGGGCTCACTGAAACAATGATTTCTTAGCCAAGCAATATATGCCAAATTAATGCAAGACGAGCCAACACAAAAGGCCTATAAATTGAAACTAACCAAGTCCAGTGACTAGTAATGCAGTTGTTCGATCTTGACGACCGAATGTATTCTCCGCAGTACATGTATAACGATCCTGATCATCTACTTGAACATCTATAATTTTAAAATTTCAAAAAATTTGAATATAATTAGCATAGAAAAGAAAAATCACAACAATATATGACTTAATCATACTGTTAATTAGAAGACTTCCATCTGGAAGAATTTTGATACGAGAAGTTAATTTTTCAATTGGTACTCCATTACGATTCCAAGTAATTTTTGGTACAGGATATCCTATTGCACGACACTGAAGTGTTACGGATCGTTCAATATTCACTCGAACTATTTCGGGAGTTGGCACAATTGTTGGCATACCTGTAAAATTATTTCTTCCACTTTTCCAAATTTTTCAAATCTTTCTTGTTTTGTTTTTTGTATTTATAGATTATGTATTTATTTGAATGATAATTTTCAGTTATCTCACTTTAAATTGCAACTATCATATCACAATAAACATTGAATTTCACGTATTTACTTCATAACTTACTGTTCAATGAATAAATTTTCCAATAGATAGATTAAATTCGATGAAGAAAAAAAAAGCATAAAATTTTAAATCTTCACACATAAATTTGAAAAAAAAGCATACTTCCGACATCAAGATTGATTATTCCTAAATCGCGTCCAGCTAAATTCTGTGCAACACAGGTATACGATCCGGCATCAGAATCTTGTACTCCCTGTAAATATTAAATAGTTCGACATTTTAAACATCTGTTTTATAGGAAATATTTTGATCATTGGTAATATATTTGTAATGAAGCATATTGAATTTATTTAAGCGAGAAAAAGAGATAAATACCTGAATTGTGAGCTTATTTTGATCAATCATAATATATTTGTAACTTCGAACTTCACGTCCTTCACGGAACCATGTGACTATTGGCTTTGGATTCCCATGTACTATCTAAATAAAAAACATCAAGTTAAACAAAAAAAAGAATTTAAGCAAACATCTCAAATAAAAATAAAGCACATTTTTTGATTTATTTAAAACTAGTTTTATAAAAGTAATAAGCTTTGATAAATATTAAAATATTAAGTGAAAATCCATCTTACGATGCATTCCAACGTGACACGATCACCTCTGCCAATCATTTGTCGATCACGGATAACACGAATTTTTGGAGGAGCTGTAACGATTTTGTTTTAAAATACAATATTAATCAATCTTCACTGTCTAAAATATGAAAGTTGTGGCAAATTAAACTGTCGCTGTTTAAAATTAAGACATATTTTTATTAATTAATTAGCACTGAATTAGGAAATGTGTGCCTTCTTTCCTAACTTATCCAATTCATTTATTACTCGACTTACAGTTTATTTTCTAATTATCAAGTTTATTTATTAGTTATAAATTTAAAAAAACAAGGATTTCTATACTATCAAGTTTTATAAAATTCATTTGAACTGTACTTGACATTTGCGCCACCGTGCTATCTGCATGGGAACCAGCAGCATTACTTGCACGACATTCATATACTCCAGCATCAGCCTCTGTTGCTTGTTGCACAATCAAATCATCTATAACAAATTAATTTTTAATTAATCGATATTTTTTTTTGTTTTACAAAATTTCGAAAAAAAAAGATAATGAGAACAAACCACAAACATTTATAAGTGATGTAGTATTTTTGAAAATCTGGAATAATTCGACGACCTTTGAAGTACCATTTCGGTTCCGGAGGCACATCACCTAAAATTTAATTTTTTCATCAAATACAAGCTATAAATTTGATATGTTTCATTTTTTTTTACAAACAGTCAAGTGTAAAAATAATTTGAAATATCACGTAGCACATTTATTACAATTTCCACATTTCCTCCAATCACGTGTACGTTTTATTTACCTCCGAACTTTGACTTATTAATGAATAAAACATGCACCAAGAGGAGTTTATTAAGGAAATTTCAAAAAAATCCTACCATCAACAGAACAGGAAGTATTGAATGATTGCCCACGTACGAAATATAATTGGTGTGGCGTAACGTGAACTTTGGGAATTTCTAAGACACGTAAGTGCATGATAGCTTCAGCACGACCTCCTGATGTTTGTACACGACAACGATAAATGCCCGCATCTTGCATATTGACATCACTTATCCTTAACGTACCATTAGCATATAAACGCTGCAATTATTATTTGTGCTAATTAAAAGAGCCACTACTTTATCCATAAAAGATAGAATGACAAATTCATGCCAAAAATGGATACATAATTAAAGAGCAGTCATAATGAAAAATTATTGTTTGATCTTTAATTTACATCAATAAAGCACTATCCTATGATCTTGAGCTACAACCTCATATTGATTACATTTCATTTCTTTCTTTAACTTAAAAAATTTATACCGTTTTAGCCGTATTATCGATCACTGAATCTCCTTTTAGCCACTGAATTACAGCATTCAAATTATGAGTACGACAATGTAAAAATGCTGAATTTCCACGTGCTACTGACTCGTTTCGAATAAGTGTAATCTCAGGTGCTGGTTCTGCATTTTTTTTTTTTGCGGAAAGAATGAATTTGAAAATTGAAAGAAAAAAAGAGGAAGCAATTGAAAATGGGTCATTGAGAAGAAGGATGGAAAGCCATATGATCGATCGAATAAGTATGGATCGGATCGATCATAACAACTGATTGAAATTAGTTAGAAATTAGGCGCAGTGATCGAGGAATAGCACTACCGTAATCAGTATGATTTGTAGCTGCTGTACAGCATACTGTATAGCAGACTGTAAGTATACTGTACAACAGTGCACTGTGCAGCGATCTGCAGTACAGCACAGGTATTTTAGCTCATTCAAGTAAGCAAGGTATCTTCTTATTCTAGCTGTTAAATATTAATAAAGACGAATATGAGAGAAGTAAAGAAATAAGCCAGTATTTTTTTTCTTTGGAATAATTTAGCATAATGCATTAAATCATGAAAAATGGTTTAACTCAAAAATTTGACTAATTCATGGGTGAATTTAAATGAAATAAAGAAAATTTTAAATGAATATAACCTTCTGTTTCGAGAAATATGGTAACAGTATGATTTCCAGAGGAGCTAATAACTGTGCAATGATATTCACCACGATCTTGCGGTGTAACTACTTGAAAATTCCAAATAGATGTATCCGAATATCTGTCAAATTAAATTTTATCATAAAATTTTTTGATGAATTCTAAATTGCTAAGATATACTTATTTTAATTAAAAAACAAAAAGCAAAATCTAAAAAAAAAAGAAACTCACGGATAAAAAAGTGGCTCACTGAGTTGTTTGTTACCTTTGTACCAATAAAGTGTAAATTGACCCTTTGAAACTACTGAACATGTCAAATTGAATGGTTGTGAAACGATTGCTGTCATACGATCAGCCATATATGCTCTAAGATGAAATATATCATATATTTCAAGTAATTTTATTTTTTTTAAAAAATAAAGAAATTCAATTTCTTAAATTTTATTAAAAATTATGAACAAGGAAAAAAAAATACCTTGGTCCAGCGGTTTGTACGGCAGATATTGCAGTAGGAGCGATCCGTTGAAATTGATATGATCGATCATCTTCACCTTTGACACGAACAAAAAACAATCCTTGTGGTGGTATAAATGGTCCAATATAATATAGATAGGGATTTTGCATATGCATGGTAGCCGGTTTAGAGAATAATTCCTCACCATAGTAATCAATTAGTGAAATCTCGAGAACAACACCTGGTGCAGGTAATCCTTTCATGTTCACAATTAAATAGGTATTTTGATGAGCAATTGGACGTGGATGTGACTGAAATATTTTTGATACAACAATGTGATGGTTTAATTTCTGAATGATTCTTGTATTAATTTTATAATAT